GGTCTACATGGAGTCAGGATCAGCAAGAGCACAGCCTTTCATCTCTACATTTTGTTTCCCTGGAAGGTCTTTAAGGGCAGTAACAGGCATGGCACTGTTATCTCCTATGATAATGCTGCCTTCTGAAATATCTCTTGATAGACCTGCCTGAGGCTGTTTTACAGTTAACTTTTTTCTTATAAGTAGAAGGATTACACTCTAAATTAACAATAAAAAGTATAGTAAATAAATAAACCAGTAACATAGTCGTTCATTGTCTTTTTACCATCAGTACAGTAGGTTTACACCACACCAGTATCACCACAAACATATGAGTAATGCCTTTTGCTATGACGTCAGGATGGCTATGATATCACCAGTCAACAGGACCTTTTCAGCTCTATTATAATCTTAAGGTACCACTGTCATATATGCAGTCTGTTTTTAACCAAAACATGATTATGCAGTGCATGACTGTATTTGTTTTAACAGGGACTTAGCCTGATTAAATAAATTGGAACCCTCGTTCTGCTATTATTAATTCTGCTATTATTAATTATGGGAACTTGGGTAAGTTATTTAATCACATTGTGGTTTGGTATTCTCATCTGAAAAAAGAGATACTGAACTGCCTCTTCATAAGCAGGTAATAAGCATTAAATGCATTAATACATGTAGAGCACTTAGAACAATACTTGGCACAATAACTGTTTCATAGTGTTCTCAAACCACAATGAAGTAAACCAAGTGATATCTAAGCTGAGGCCTGTATAACAAGGTGTGATCCAGGCAAAAGGTGAAGGAAGAATAGCTAAAATGTTCCAGCCAGCAGGAAGACCATGGGATTTTCTACTTACTCAATACCACTCTTAGAGATGGGATACTTACCTTAAAGGCAGAATGCTTTGAATGTTTAGATATCTGCTTATGAGCTTTGCTTTAAGCTACATCACTGGGCATAAGAATTACTGTCCGTGTTGTAATGTAAAACCATGTACTTTAGGGGCAATAAGTTTCCATTTTCCTTTAAGAAAGTAAAACAATCTTTTGATGATGCTAAGAGAAGTTAAACAGAGAGAAATTTGCCATAATGTTAAATGAGTTATCTTTGGATTACGGAACCAAAGGTGTTTAAGAAATTCTTTATACTTCTCTATATTTTCTAATTTTTCCCACACTAAGCACATTACATTTCTATAGTCTGAGAAAAGAGATATAAAAATCAATTAAAAACACTACTCTCATTAAAAATGTTTGATGCTTTCACTGAAAAGTGCTCCTTTTTGTGAAATACACTGCTGTTACATCATTTGCCACGCTGGCCTGAAACTGTCTTTTGTCTCTTTAGTGGACCTAAGCAAACTGGTAAAAAGACATGGTCCTTGCTTTCAACTTATCTAGCCAGACAGGATTTCTGTATTGTCCTGTTACTGTCATAACTTTAGAGGAAAGGCTTCTCATCTTACATACTCACTATGCAAATGAACATGTATCACTTAATTTTCAAATGATGTATGTCAAAACAACATACATGATGACACACTTTTTAGAGAACAAACTAAAAACAGAATCATGGAGGCAGAACTGCACAGTGGTTAAAATCATGGGTTATAAAGTCAGATTGCCTGGGTCGGAACTCCCTTCTGCAACTTATTAGCTATATGACTTTGGGCAAGTTAGTCAAACTCAGTGTCTCAACTTCCACATCTATAGAATGAGGATAATAGAAGCAATGCATAAAGGTGTTCAAAGGTTAAATGAGATAATGCAGGTAGACTTAGCATGTTGTCTGGCACATCAGTGTACAAATGTGGCTATTACTATTACCTACAAAAACTAAAACAACAGTAAAGAATCGATACTCCACAACACAGATCTGAAAGTTATCTTTATGCTATCAGATGCCGAAAATTACTATGTGTCAGCCATTTAATTTGCACATTAATCCTGTGAAATTTTTAAACAATTCTTGAATCACCAAGAAATTAGAGATCTATGCTGAGATGAAATAGATCTTTTTTTAAAAAAATCACATTCTCAACTGATCATTTCTCTGAACTATTCATTGCAAAACAGCACCAATGTTTTACATTTTTTGTATAACGCAATGTTTTGTATAACATGTTTTATTGAATCTTCATGTTTTTGCTTTGTAAAGTCATGAGATTTTATATGCAGCAGGCTCATGAGGCATATTAGCACTTAAAACTCAAGAAGCTTTTTTAGAACATTTGGTAGGTTTGCAATCAAATCCTAGAATTTCAATATTTTAGGCTTAAATTTGGAATCCTGATTGAATTGATTTTCATTATTCACTGACCATCTTATTTACTTAATACTGCTCTAATAAAAACTATACTCCAAAACTCTATTCACCACCTTACCCGCTACTCCTGCCCTATGCTTCACACACTGGACCGCCCACTCTCTGCTTTACTGTCAGGGTTTTGACTCATTTGGCAATGACTCTCAACCAGCTCTACCTACTCAAATCCTACCTTCCAGGCATTCCCCAGTACCTGAATTTCTTACTTCTTTGTTCATGAAACTTAGTACCTTCCACTTAGCATTATGTTCTGTTCATAATCTATCCTTTTAGAGGTTCCGGGCCTTACACAGCTGCTAGAGTAACATTAAGTAATTATTTGCAGAGGGAACAGAAGCATACCAGTTTCAAATGAGCAAGAACTGCAGATTAGTGTTATTCTACATTTCAACAGTAGAATAAACTCCCTACTTAGTACCTTGTTTGTTTCTTTAAAAAGATAAACTCCCTACTTAATATCTTGTTTGTTTATTTAAAAATGCAATCAAATCAGAATGAAAGAATCCCAGATTTATGTACAAAAACAGTGAAAAACACTAAGAAGTTATAACAGCAACACTTTTACATTTGTGACAGTAATTAAAATTAATGTAGCAACCCCTGTGGTCTGCCAGAATGAAGATAGTTGTAGAATGAGAAAAATGTTTTAAAGATAAAATTTCTATTAATTATTTGGAATTCAACTGTGCAGATGTTGGTAACCCATGAAAACATAGCTCCAGAGAAGCCCGTAATATAAAATAGGATATTTTTATTAGTCTGGTCATTAAAACAAAAATTTAGTAAAAGGAAGTGACTAATAAAAACTCCCATCAGCATAGAAACATTCCAAGTTTCTGTTCCCTATCCTTTAATATTTCCCATTATATTAAAATAGTTCCATTAGACTTCCATTATTAAAGGCTAAAAAACACCAGTGACTTTGTTGTTATTTAAAAGTTCATTTTACTTTAGTTATAATGTTAAAGTACTTTTATGATGACCAAATACTAGAAGTAGAATCTTGTAACTTACTTTGAAAGTAAAATCGACTCTTTGATGTAAAAACATTAAAATATTTTGAACTATGGGTACATGGTCAACAGGCCATTCTATTTTTAGGTATCATCAAGTAGACAAATTTCGGTAACTTGAAATAAGCATGCCAAGTTGTTAGAAAACAGGTGAACAGAGGGTTAAGTTGAAATAGGCATCTTCCTGGGCTTATCACACTAAGATTAATTTTACAAAACTTTGATGAAATCAAACAGCAGAGAACATTAAAATTAAGAAACTGCTACTAAAATTAACTGTATATGTGATTAAATAAACAGAAGTCATACCCTCTAAATCCTAAGTCCATTAAGACAAAAACATTTATAACACACTATATTCATGACTTCTTGTGGTTCCTGAAAAGTCAAAAAATGTGTTTGAGGTATATCCCTTGTTTTCCGTTTATAACATGCATTAAAAAAAGGAACAACTCAAGCACAAAACAAACGAAAAACTGAACAACGTTGCCAAATTTCTAAACATACAATACTTAGCTCCAATTATCCCTGCATCTATTCTAAAATGGTTTTTTAAAAGTCTGAATCAATAAGCACCTGATGGGCCTGGGATACTCGAATACAGTCTTGTCCACCAATAGGAAAACTTTACCTAAATCTGGATTCGTATTTCATCTCTTTATCACAAAACACGGAGCACAAACTGGGATTGTTAACGGATAGCCAAATGGCAAGAACCCCAGACAGAGTAATCAGTACTTGGATGCTAGGGTTGTTTTTAAGGACTTTAAATGAGACAGCTTAGGGAAGAAAAGAGGGATTCATTTCTCCAAGTTAAATTTGTAACACTTCTTAGTAGGGAGTTAAAAATGTGAACTAGCCGAGCTAAAATGAACGCAGCGTGTAAAAGGGATCTGGACTGGAGCCTGGGGGTGAAGGAGGGACGACGGGGGGAGTGAGGGGCTTTCGTGACGCCCGGCCTGGGGTTGCTGGCGATCCGGGTGGAGGGATGGTTAGTCAAGCGAATGGCCCGGGCTGGATCCGAGATGCCGAGTGATGCCTCACCCCGCGAACGCGCGCGGATCTGAGCCGCGGCGGCAGCGCTGTGGGTCGGTTTCCATTCGCGGCGCCCGAGCCCGCCTCCATGTTCGGGATCTATGCCCCGGGGCGGGCAGGCAGGCGGGGACCGGTGCCCTAGGCCGCGGGGTCGGGGAGCCCGGCCTCACATCGCCCGAAATCCCAGCGGGGACGGCGCCGCCCGCGGGGAGGATGCTCCGGGCTTTCCGCTCGGCCCCACCTGAGCGGCGGGAGCTCGGCGACTCGACCTCCGGAGCCCGACCCGCCTGGGCCTGGAGATCACCCGGCGCGGCCGCTGCGGCCACGGCGCCCTCCACCCGGCGCCCGGGCACGGCCCCGCGGCCCTCCCCACAGCCGGCTCCCCGCGGAGCGCTCTCGCCGCGTCCGCACCCCCCACCCCCTTCCCTAGGACAAACCTTGGGGCCGCTACCCGGCATGGCCCGCCCCGCGAGGAAGCGGCAGGCGGGTGGCGGGGCCCGTGGCTACAGCGGCCACCTCGGCCCTCCCGCGCAGAGCCGCGCCCGCCCGCGCGCCCTCCCCGCCGGCTGCAGCCCCGGCGCCCCCTTCCCGGGTTGCACAACTCACACCCCCCACGCGCGCGCACGCGGATCTGTTGCTCAACCTACTTGCATTCTCTTCTCCGCAGCCATCACAACATGCCCTGGAGCCGGGGCAGCCCCGGGGCCCTCCGGCAGGCGGCCGCCTCTCGCCTCAGCCCTGGGCCGCCGCGGCCGCCGCTAGGGCGCTGGGCTGGCGCGAAGCTCCCTCATGCCGCCCGCCCGGCCAGCTGGCCGCACGCCGGGGCCCCGGCTCGGGCGCGCCCGAGCGCTCGGTTCCGCCCGGCCCGCCGTCCGCGCCGCTGCTCCGCCGCCAAGAGCGAACCCGGCTCCGCCGCCCGCCGCCTCGCTCGGCGCTCCTCGCCCGCCCGCCTGCAGCCGCCGCAGCCGCGCCGCTTCCTCCTCCCCTTCCCTCTTTTCCTTCTCCTCCGTCGCCGCCTCTGGAGCTGAGGTTGGCAAACCAGCACCTGCTGCTGGAGACCGCCGAGAACTGAAACAGGAAACCCCGAGCCAAGGGGAAAACCCGGGAGGCGTGGAGAGGGGTGAGGGGAACTGCTGGAACCTGTCGGGCTCGACCCAGCCGCTGAGGCTGCTCGGGGTTCCCGCGCCGCCTCCCCTCGCGCCCATTCCCTGCCCCGGCCCAACCCAGGGTCCCGACCTCCCCGAGTCGCTCCCCCGGTCCTGTGCAGGACGGCGCCGCTCCGCTCGGCGACACCTTCTCCACCCAGCAACGATACGGATCACGTCCTGGGCAGTCAGGGAGATCGACGGGCCGCCTTCTTAGGGCAGGTTTCCCGTTGTTGTTTACTTGTCAATATTCCGTGATGAGGAAAAACCACACCCTGCATTAGCAAGGCCAGTAAGAGAATTTAAACGAAGCTGTTGCGATTTCACCCAGGGGTAGGACTTCTTTCAGCAAGGAAATTGGCTTTGATGAAAATGGCAATCGTGTCAAAATTGAGGTTGAACCCAGGATACATCCAGATCTCTTTCAGGAGATCGGAAGGAAACAGCCCTTTGCACAGAGTTGGGTGCCTGAGCCGCAAGCTAAAAAGCACCGGGAGCAGTGAGCCTTTCTACTTCTGTGAATTGTACACCACCCAGCACAAACTAAGTCAACGTTTCAGAAATGTTTAAATAACCTTATTCACCTGCCCTTGGAATCGTTACCAGGGTCCTCATGCCTAGCCTTGGGCAAGATGGGTCTGCTTCCGGAGAGGGAGGGACAGACACTCAAAGGGTTGTGCCCCCACCGTGTGTCACCGGCCAAATAGCCTGCTTTAAATCCACGGTCCCATTTAATTGTCACCACAGCCGTGTGAGCTGGGTATTACAATCCCCTTCATCCTTCAGAAAATCGAGGTTAGAAAATTTACCTGCAGTTACACAGCTTGAATGTGAAGTATTCAGGTTACGTCTAAAGGATGCATTTGTTTCACTGGACCACGGTGCATGCTTTTGATCACACTTTTCGCCTTTCATAAAATTACTTATTGCCTCTGAGTTATTTTCAGCAGGGCATATATATGGCTTAAGCCTGGATCTGCTGAATTTGCTTGGACTGCCTAATGGTAGTGATATTAATGATGCTTATTGGGGTTCAAACTTGATGATTTTCAGTTTAATATTCTCTAGCAAATATAGGCCTTTATGGCTCAGTTGAGTAGCACAGATATCCCACCCCCCCGCTTTTTTTTTTTTTTTTTTTTTTTTTTTTTTTGGCTATAATCAGTTGTTCTTTAGCTGTTGATGATGGGGTCCCAGCTGGTGCACATGGGCATCCTGACTCTGCCTGTGAGATGAAAGGAGAGTGTCTTACTGAGCTTGTTTTCCACATCAGTAGGCCAGTCGTGAAGCTAATTAAATAAAATTGCAGGCAGGCAGGTAGGCTGGCTTCTCTGGTTCTCTGATCCGCAATTTTTTTTTTTTTTTTCTGAGACAGAATCTAGCTCTGTCACCCAGGCTGGAGTGCAGTGGCATGATCTTGGCTCACTGCAACCCCTGCCTTCTGGGTTCAAGTGGTTCTCCTGCCTTAGCCTCGCCAGTAGCTGGGATTACAGGTGTAAGCCACCACACCTGGCTAGTTTTTGTATTTTTAGTTGGGACAGGTTTTTGCCATGTGCCCAGGCTGGTCGAAAACACCTGGCCTCAAGTGATCCACCCTCCTTGGCCTCCCAAAGTGCTGGTATTACAGGCGTGAGCCATTGCGCCCGGCCAGGTTCACATTTTTTTCATATCACCCTGAAGACCCTTAGGAAGATTGATAACCTGCTGTCTGCAGCCGGGTCAGATTTTATAGGCAGGAAAATAGGGGCTGGGAAAGCAGCCCCTTTACACTGTGCCAGAACCTTATGGGTCTCTAGAGCAGAACTAGAGGTCCTTAATCTTAGGATCTCTAGGGGACTTAGCAGGGACTTAGAACGAAGCTGGCTGTTTGACAATAAGTGACAGCATCTGTGGCATGACTTTAGTGATGCCAGGAAGTTCCCCACTCCACAGCATACTGCCCACACAGTCTACCTCTTACCTTGTATCCCACAATTGACTCAGCTAAATTCCATTCCATATTGATTAAGCCCGGTTAAAGATCAAGGTAAGAGAGATGAGTAATAGTTATTATAACTAACATTTAATGAATGCTTACCGTGTTCTAGATACTGTTCTAAGCACTTTGCATGTATTGTCTCATATAATGCCCACAAAACCCCTGTAAGGAAATACCTATCACTATTTCCATTTCACAGATGAGACAACTAAGACCAAGACTATAGCCAATAAGTAACAGTGTAAGGGCTAAAATGCAGTCAGTTTGACTCTAGAGTCAGGAGCTACTATGTGAATAAGATACAGTAATTGCCATTATTACTTTGCTATTTATTTGAAGAAATTAAAACACATGAAAAGTTAAAACTAAGAATACAAGATAATGTATAAGTGTCAAATGTGAGTATAGGTAATAAATGCCATGAGGTATCAGAAGACAGAGGAATCACTTTAGGTTGGAGTGGCTGGGAACACGTACACAGAATATGAGTTAGGATTTCAAAAAGGGGAGATTTGAACTGGATTGTGATGAATGCGTAGTATTTTGATAAGTGGAGAAGATAAGGAAGGGCATATTCATAGAATTGACAACATATACAAAGAGTGCCAGGGAAATTTGGGGAACAAGATAACAAAAAGCTGGAAACGAAAAGTAGGACGAAATTACAGAGATCTGCAAAACAAGAGAGGAATACACTCGTAAGCACAGAGCAAGAGAGAGAGCGAGAGCGAGCGAGCGAGAGAGAGAGAGAGAGAGAAAGAGAATTTGGCTCCATGTAGTCTATGTACCAGTGGGGAATCTGGAAGTATTTTGGTCAGAAACTGATGTCGATAATGTCCCATTAGAGGAATACTAATATTGTGATGGTTACTGGTTGGTTTGAAAAAGGGAGAGAAACAAGTTTGCAGGCTAATATGGGAGAATTGACCTGAAATCACAAAGTGGACCATGAGAGAGGGAAAAGAAGAAATGGGCTGGCGAGACACTGTGGTGTACAAATCATAGAGGCTTTGTGAACGACTGAGTGCACTTAGTGAAGATGGACTTAAGAAAAGGGAGAAGTCTGAAATGACATAGTGGGTGTGAATGTGAAACCTGTAGTATTAGTAACGGAAAAAAAAGGCGCAGTGTATGGGTACAGAAACTACTTAAAAATGTTCAGAATAGTTTGGTTTTAGGCATGATTTGAGGTAACAGCAGAATATGCATGTGGAAAACTTTTATAGTCCTATCTCAAAAAGGCAAATAGTTCAGTAAATAAGAGTGTTCATTATCTACTATTAAAAGCACCTATATGAAAATTTAAAATGGTTACTATTATAGCAATAACCAGGCATGGATGTTCATCTTTAATAAACCAGCATGGAAAGAAAATTTCAAATAAACATAAACTCAGCATTAAATAGGCCTAGAGAACACCACTCATATTCTCTTTTTTACCCCAAATTATATTACTTAAAGAGACAGTGCAGCCAGAGAGAAAGGTCAGGTTACCCACAAAGGGAAGCCTATCAGACTTATAGCAGATCTCTCAGCAGAAACACTACAAGCCAGAAGAGAGTGGGGACCAATATTCAACATCCTTAAAGAAAAGATCTTTCAACCAAGAATTTCACATCCAGCCAAACTAAGCTTCATAAGGGAAGGAAAAATAAAGTTTTTTGTGAACAAGCAAGCACTCAGAGATTTCATCACCACCAGGCCTGCTTTACAAGAGCTTCTGAAAGAACCACTACACATAGAAGGGAACAAACAGTATCAGCCTTTCTAAAAAATACCAAAAAGTAAAGATCATCAATATAATGAAGAATTTACATCAACTAATGGGCAAAACAGCCAGCTAATATTAAATGGCAGTATTAAACTCACATATATCATTATTAATTCTAAATTTAAATTGGCTAAATCCCCCAATCCAAAGACAGGCAATTTGGATTAAAAAAACTAAAACCCATCGGTGTGCTGCATCCAGACCCATCTCACATTCAAGGAAACACAAAGACTCAAAACAAAGGGATGGAGAAAGATTTACCAACCAAACAGAGAGCAAAAATAAATAAATAAAAAGCAGAAGTTACAATTTTTGCCTCTGATAAAATAGTTGTTAAAGCAACAAAGATCAAAAGAAGAAAAGAAGGACATTATATAATGATAAAAGGATCAATGCAACAACAAGAAGAGCTAAAGATCCTAAATATATATGCACCCAATACAGGAATACCCAGACATATAAGACTTGTAAAGAGACTTAAACTCCCACACAATAATAGTGGGAGACTTCAACATTAACATTAGACAGATCAATGAGACAGAAAATTAACAACGATATCCAGGACTTGAACTCAGATCTAGAACAAGTAAACGTAATTAACATTTATAGAACTCTCCACTTTAAATACACAAAATATACACTCTTTTTTTTTTTTTTTTTTTTTTTTTAGGCAGAGTTTCGCTCTTGTTACCCAGGCTGGAGTGCAATGGCGCGATCTCGGCTCACCGCAACCTCCGCCTCCTGGGTTCAGGCAATTCTCCTGCCTCAGCCTCCTAAGTAGCTGGGATTACAGGCACGCACCACCATGCCCAGCTAATTTTTGTATTTTTGGTAGAGACGGGGCTTCACCACGTTGACCAGGATGGTCTCGATCTGTTGACCTTGTGATCCACCCGCCTTGGCCTCCCAAAGTGCTGGGATTACAAGCTTGAGCCA